TTTTGAAGTGTTCTAATACTAAATTTCAAAAATCGTAATTATAAAAGCATTTATAACATTTTTATGTGAAAAAATAAAAAGAAGATTTCAAATGTATTTTGAATGACTCGGATAAATATTTTTAAAGTGTATCTCAATAATATATTTAAAAAATCTTCAAACACGATTTTATATATGTTTAAAATTGAGTTTGGAGGGAAAAAAAGTGGGACCAGTTTGAGCCCGACCCGTGACCAACATAGCTTTTTACATGGAGATCGTGTGGGGGTGTTTGGTCAGGACCAGGACCAGGACCAGACCGATTACAATAGGACCAGATACAAAAAGAAAATCTCATATGGAAGTCGCTGAACCGAATTTTGATCATCTCTACTTGAAAATTGAAATGATAAAGAAATTTGAGTAAATTACACCGTTGGTCCATGTGGTTAGATAAGAATCTAAATATGGTCCCTTTTTTAAAATAAGTATGTTAGGGTCCCGTGGTTTGCATTCCGTTTCACTCTAGGTCGCTGATACGAACACCGTTAACTTTAACCTGTTAACTCAAGGGCAATATAGTCATTGCATTTATTAATTAAAACACTTTCTATAAACCAACCATATGGTGACACATTTCCTACATTTTTCCCCCTTTGACCAACCAAATGTATCATCAATATCAATTCTGTTAGTGATATGGATCCTTAATGTACTTATTTCTAAAGAGCTATCATATCCAAATTCTGACATAACCACAAGGACCAATAGTGTAATTTACTCAAGATATTTATTTAGAAGGTGGGCCAGTGGGCCTGAAGCTATATGATGTGGCGCTGCGTCAACAAGCCTATCCAAAGTTTGTGGGCGGCCAACTGTTATCCGTCAAAGCCCACGCGCTGTTTAAGATTAAAATTATATCTTATCATAAATATCATTTTTTATTATTAAAATGATATTTTATTTTTGATAAAATAGAAATTTTGTATCAACATTAGACATGGATTTTACACAAATATAGTATTTAAGTATATTTTAAAATTAGTTTTTTTTTATTTAAGTAAATAAATTTATTGTTAAATTTGATATTTTTTTCCACTTAAGGGCTGTTTATTTTTTTATTGAATGGGCTTAATAATTAATTGAGCTTATTCGCTCAGCTACAATGAAGTGTTTGTTTATGGCTTAACGAATAAGCCTATCACTTATCCGCACAATTTTAAAGGGGGTGTTGTCCCCATTAAGCCGTGCCACTTTACACCCCTTGCCCTTGATCTGGTAGCACGCCTTTCTTTCCATAAAAACAAAAACATGGTGTGATCTCCCTCATTTCCTTTCCTCATCAGTTTCTCCTTCCCTCATCTCCAGACAGACATTTTACCCATACAAAACTTAATAGAAAATTTGGTAAACAACCCTTACTTTCATATTTTAAATTCCGTTATATGTAAATATTTAATTAGTCACAAATTATATTGAGTGATTTTTTTTAACATTATGTTTTTATAAATCGATATGTCATGTGAAAAAACTTAATTCTTATGTGGCAAAATGATACTTAGCATATATTTTTATTGAACCAGGTGTTTTAATCATACATGTTATTTATCTAGGATGAAACTTTACATGCTACATTAGTTGCAACTTGTAACGAAAATGGAGTATGACTCATGTGATAACTTTGTTAGATAATGCTTCATGTGAAGATATATATATATATATATATATATATATATATATATGCATACATATATATATGTACATGCATACATAAATATATATACATACATACATACATCTATATATATAGAGTTTGTTTCAAATACAACTTATCGCATTTGTACAACCAATGCAACCCAAAAAATTGAAATGTTTATGGAAACGATGATAGTTCATTTATTATGATTTAAATATTTATGAAAGATGATTACGGTTCATTAATTAAATTAATACTTTATATTATGAAATAATCAAAACTTCTATAAATTACATATTCATCAAATGAAATGGACAGTTGAGATTGGATTATATTGGTTGCACAAATGTCAAGGGTTGTATAATAACCAACATATATATATATATATATATATATCTTCATATATTAATTAATTAGTTCATGTGTGGATCATATTCGTTCATATGTGAATCAGTTAAAATAGTTTATGTGTGAATTACACGAGCTCACATGTGAACATATAGTTTATATGTGAATTACATAAGTTCATATATGAATCCATTTGTTGTATATTTATAAAAGTTACGAAACTATTCTCTCTATTTATTACATGGTCGCAAATTTTGACCAATCAAAAAACCGTAATTATTAACCAGTCAACTCTGATATTGACCACATGAAAGGTTATGATCATTTCTTTACTTCTCAAATATCTAACATTTATGAAAATAACTTTTGACTACACAAGTAAATAATTTCTCTAGATAAAGTGAAAACGAGGGCTTACCTACATTCTCTTTTTGTGTTGCACTTTCAACAAAAAATGTGCTGAGAAGTTGACACGTACATGTTCATTTAGTAAATCATGATTTATTTTGTACGTTTGAGAAAACCTTTTTCATTCAAAATTCCTTTTAAGTGTTCTTTTGTCGTTTAACTTTTTTGTTCCAATAACGGGTTTTGCTGAATTGTTTTTTTCCAGTAACAAATTTTGTTTAAATGTGTAAATTGTAATTAATATTCACATGTGATTGTGTATTCAAACATCAATTTACATTTGATATTCACATATGATTACCAGGTAAGTTCGTGTCTTTTGGGTAAAATATAAATGGTTTTATATTAGTTGATATTTACATGTGAATACGGTACTATTTTATGCATACGTGAATATCAATAGGATGTCACTAAGATAAAAAAGGATCTGTAATAGGTCAAATATATGTTCATATGTGAAGAAAAATATATGTAACCCAAAAATTTGGAGGCAAACATCTAACGAATGGATAAAAAACCAATTTAAATAAACAAAAAAACTAACAAATTTCATGGAGATCCCGACATATCTTTTATTGGATTGAATGGGTAATGTCAATATTGTCTGTCGAGGTTGAGAGTGATTGAACATAAAAGTGTCTGATACATTAACGAGGAATTCGTGGTGGTTGTAAGATTATCAATTTTCACATTTGATGGTCAATTGGGAGTATTCCTAAATAAAGATACAAAACAATGATTTACGATGTTGTTTGAACGATTATGAAAAACGAAACCTCAAAATATTTGCACAACTTCACGAAAATTGTAAAATGACAATCGATAAGAACTGATAGCATGAAAATAGTTCCCGTTTAGTTTGTAAGATTAAATTGGATTGGATTGGATTTGAAATCTTGGAATTTCATTGAAATCCCACAACCATATGATTTTAAAATCTCACGGGGGTGGTTGGTATTTCAAGGGATTTTGTAGAATTTTTATGCAATAATATTTTGAAATATGTTTAAAACATCTGTTTTGTAAATAATCCATTAATAAAAAGATAATTTAATTATTCATGTGATTTGTTTTTATAAGTTATTCACAAAGAATGAAATTAAATTCAATTCCAATCTATAAACCAAACTGTAAGCTATTACATGCCAACGACTTCTGTCATACATAAACACTGTCAACGAATATGTAAACCTACAAGGGTCGCACATAAATAATACACATGTTTATATAACCGAAAAAAACCCGAATTAAATCATGTTGATTGTTAAAATGATTATTCTCGTAAATACGTGTTAAAAATGTAATTATGATATATCAAAAATGTTATATGTGAATACATATATTTTATGTTTATATAAATATATTTACGGATAATCATAAAACCTTATTCGAGTTAATTTATGATTCAGTAAACCTTTGAATGATTCAATCTTTTAGGTCGTTAATTCTCAGATAACACAGAAAATAGATCTTCTTCTCGTTTGTTGTTGAAAACACATACTAGATTTAAGGGTTTTAGGCTAGCACCCAATAGAACACAACAACGTGTTTGTGTGTGGATAACTGGACATACGTAGAGGAAATCTACATTGATTTCTAAAGTGCTTCGTCTGAACCAATACTATATCTAAAAGGTAATATTCTAAACACCCTATGGATTGCTTAGATTTTATTTTAAATGTCACTGGATCTGGCTTACGGTTTTTTTCCGAACTTTTTCTCCAAAATAAGTAACCAAAAATTATTTTCCACTACGTTTTTAAGATTACAAAATTAATTTGAAACCTTATACAAATACACCAAAAATTACAAATCATTCCAAATCCAAATCCAAATCCTCCCGATTCAGCATCCTTCAATGAAATCTAAACACCTCAAAACAATTAATTAAAAAAATACTAATATTTTTCTTTTTGTTATATCTATACTATATTATAAARCATTTGACAAAAACTCTTAAAAACCATTTTTTATACATGAAAAACTGTTTATTAATGTATATTACTTAAAATTTAAGATTACAAGTAAATTGTGTATAAATACAACTTATTAAAGATTCATATTTGAATTCGTGTAATTAATTGTGGATAAACATTATCAATTATTGGATAAACATCTAATTTTAAATATAAAAAATCTAATATATAATTAGGATAATCACTGAGTTTTAACATAACACTTAGTTATTATTTTTATAAAAAATTATATTATTAAACCTAAATTAAATTTCTTTGTTAACTAAATTTAAATTAAATTATAATTAAAAAAATGAATTAAGAAAATTACATCAAAACACAAAAACTTTTAAAAAGATTAATTTGATATTGATATCAATATATATTTTTTTTCAAAATTTTATGATATTTTCAAAATTTTATTTTATTTAAAAATAAAAATATTATCGATTTCTCAAAACCATATAAAACCGTATTATATCAATATAAAAAAAATAAAACGAAACATTAAAATCAAGATGCATTTTGATACATCGCACAAGTACCATTTTAGTCCTATTTATATACCAATTTGCAAAGATATTTCGAAATTGATGTCAATTTGATAAAAAAGAAAGACATGGAGCAGCGTGGAGAACACAATAAAAAAGCCAACAATAATTGAAGGAATGATTTTTAGAATTTGGAAATTTTATAAATAAATATTAAATTCATTTTCTCGATCAAAAGCAATCATCCAGTTTTCAGCCCATCTCCGTACCTGGTTCATTAACAATACGCTACGACCCCCAATTCGAGTTCTAACGCCCCAATTCGCCATAATCCATTTCTCCAATCGCTTCAAATTCTTCAAATCAGGTGCATAACCGCGTACATTCATCAATCGTAGTTAATTCCCAGCTTGATTTCAAAAGAATTGACTATTGCATTCATCAGTTACGCTTATCAAACACCTGATTTACGAGTTCTAGCACTCGATTCAATTTAGGTTGAATATTTTGAACATCCATGTCAAACTCAAACACCTAATCTCTGAGTTGTATTCATTGATTATGTGTTTTGATGTTGAATGTTTTCAACATAGATTGAGATTGTCTCTGATTTTGTGTGTGTTTGAAAATTGAAATCTGAACACCCTGTTCTTGTCTTTGAATTGACCTTGAAATTCGATTTTTATTTCAAGTTCTTTGTTCGTTTTGCTGATTAGTAAGTTTTTTCGTACTAAATTAGTTATGGGTATTGAAATCTGATGCAAATATGAATGCATGTATATGTGCGTACAGATAGAATCGGAGAATATAGAGTCGGCAATGGAGTCCCAAGTATCTGTTCCTCATGTACAAGTCGCCAATGAAGATGAACCTTCTGTGGAGGTTGATGGAGGCAATTTTGGGTATGTTCTTGCTTTGGTACTCGTACCTTGTTCATCCAATGAATTTCATCAATCAGAACATGAAAAGAATAAGAATATCATCAGAGGTTTATGGTCTTCTTGTTTTGTTTGTTTAGTTGCACACATTATAGGAGGAGATGCAAGATCAAAGCACCATGTTGTGATGAGGTTTTCGATTGCCGCCATTGCCATAACGAAATCAAGGTACATTTGTCATGATTTGGGCATTTACTGATTTGGGTATTCATTCATATGAAAGAAGAATGCGAGTTTAAGTACTTGCTAACTTTCCACTTCTTTCAATAAATCAGAATTCCCTTGAGATTGACCCTATTCATCGCCATGATGTTCCTCGGCATGATGTTAAAAAGGTAGTTTTTGTGTTTCGTGTTATCATTCAATAGGATCATGTTCCAATCCTAATCGCAATTCGCCTTTTGTGTTCTTATCCTAATTGTTTTTGGTTTCATTTGTTGTTTTAGGTCATATGTTCTCTATGTGACACTGAACAAGATGTGAGTCTTTTACCTGAACCCTATTAACGAAATCAATTCATTAAATTTGCATGTTTATGGCTTATTCTTGCATACTTTTTAGGTTCAACAAAATTGTATCAGCTGTGGGGTATGTATGGGGAATTACTTCTGTCAAACATGCAAATTCTACGACAATGATGTAAGCTTCATGATCACGTTTTCACGTATGTGTTTATATCTTGGGAGTTATATACATACAACTTTTGCTAAATCAAGCACTTTTTTCTTAATTCTTTCTAAGGTTTCGAAGAATCAGTACCATTGTGATCAATGTGGCATATGTAGAACAGGTGGCAAGGAGAATTTCTTTCATTGCGACAAATGTGGTAAATAACAAGATGAAAAATTTATATATCGTGTCTATAAATCATGTTTTTTGTTTAAGAAACTCAACGTTTGGGGAACCTCATGATAAATGCTGTAGGATGTTGCTACTCGAAAGCGATCAAAGATACACACGTGTGTGTGGAAAGGGCAATGCACCATGATTGTCCTGTTTGTTCTGAGGTAACATGATACACTCGTTGTATTTGAGGTTAAAAAAATGTTTTCTTGATTTCGAAAGTGTAACATTTACCTTTTGATTTGCAGTTTCTGTTTGATACATTGAAGGATCTTACCATGTTACCATGTGGGCATACAATGCATTTGGGTTGCCTGAAAGAGATGGAACAGCATCATAGGTAAAAACTTTGGGGGTGTTTGGTTAGAGCTATTAAGCAGTAATTAATGGGATTGAAAATAAAAGAATCTGTTTGGTTATTGGTTTTATATAATATAATGAGCTCATTCCTCTAGTAAGCCATTTTTTGTTACAGGTTAAATTGGGGGGAATGAAAATTATCATAGGTAAAAACTCAGGGGTGTTTGGTCTATAGGTATTAAGCAGTAATTAATGAGATTGAAAATAAAAGGAACTGTTTGGTTTTATATAATCTAATGAGCTCATTCCCTTACAAGCCCAATTTTCATTTCAGGTTAAATTGGGAGGAATCAAAATTCATTCTATTTTCATTTTCAGTCTCATTTTCATTCCCCTACCTGAACCAAACAACCCTTATAACCGAAAAATGATGATCAAAGTATAACTGCTATAGTGGGTCCCATTAGAAATGAAGGCTAAACCTACAAAATAGAGGGAAAAAGTGATATAAACAAATAGAATCTAAAACGTCTGAATGATGCCACAGGTACTCTTGCCCTATTTGCTCGAAATCTATATGTGATTTGTCGGATATGTGGAGAAAGCTAGATAATGAGGTGCATGTAGTAAAAAACTCGGCCTTTTTTCTTCCTGTTTTTGGTCAAAAAAACATGTGTTTTACGATTTCAATCATCTAACATTTGCTACCGTAAACATCTTAGGTTGAAGCAACTCCTATGCCCGAAACATATAAAAACAAAATGGTAAGTTTTCATTCAAGATTCGAAATGTGGTCCCTGTGGATTTTTCCGACTGTTATCTTTGGGATTTGCATTTTCTACTGAAATGGGATTTTGTGTTTGTTTATGAATTAGGTGTGGATACTATGCAATGACTGTGAGAAGATATCAAGAGTCAAGTTTCACATAGTGGGTCAGAAATGCACACAGTGCAAGTCTTACAATACAAGACAAATAAGAGGAGGCCCATCTTCTTCTGTTTCATGCACATCATCAGTTTCTGATGAGGATGTCAACTAGAAACAGAGAAGGGGTTCAATTGATGCAATCATGAACCATTTATGGGCAAAAGGGTAACAATGTCTTTTTAGCGAAGAAGAAAAAGTTGCCATTCTTGTGTGGCTTTTTGTTCATTGTGTATGGATTGCTACTTTGCTTCCATAAAAGCTTATCTGGGGTTACAATCATTAGTAAAATCTAGAGTAAGTTTGGTGATTATTATGGAATTGGTCTTAAGGTGCCGTTTACCGAGTCACTTTATTTTACCGGATGAATATGGCAAGGACTAAAAATCTTACCCGGAGCGAAGGCAAAAATCGAGTCTTACCCGGTAAGTGAGGACGAGGACTCTTACCATGGTTAGCGCTTACCGGGATAAATTGTTGCATACGATGCGTTTTAGTGAACAAAATCTTACCTTGTAAGTAAACGATAGTGTTGAATTTTATCGGTAAGTGTTTAAGTGAACGGCGGATTGTTTATTATACACTTATTGGTCAAGCACTTGCTGATATCACTTGAGCATGTCAAGGAATGAGAATCTTACACGGTAAGTTAGGGAAAAAACTTTTATGATGAGAGCCGAGAATGTTAGATGATAAGGTAAGTGAGGCCGCGACGGTGATGTCTCTTGTCAGCAGGCGCTTACCTGTGAACGGCCTGTTAATTTAATTTATTACATAAAGATCCGTAAGATTTGCCTTTGGTTTGAATTTGGTCTCATCCTAATATTCGTAAATCATCTTTCGTTAATCATGAGGGCAAAATGGTCATTTTACCATTTCTTTTTTCTATTTTACCATTTTATTAAAATAAATAATATGTTCTACAAACATATGTTGCTTTTCATAGTATAAACGTATATTATCTTGTATAACATATATTATATGGTAACTTAAATTTTAGTTTTATTAAAGTTTAAAATTGGTTAAAACGCGTTATTGTTTAGGTCATCCTTATTTTGTCAAATCGATTTCCTCATCGTAAGTGCAGCGTTCATTCTGCTTTTGCCTATGTTTTAACCGAATCCCCCTTCAGTTGTGTTGTAACTCTTGCGTATATATTCCTACCATCGATCAGATCTACTCAGACACTTCTAGAGGAACAAAAGGCACCATGTAATTAGCTGGGATATGCATAAACTAATCTAGACAATGACATTCACTGTTATAAGTATTTTCTTCTTCAATATAATGTTTTAATAAAAAAATAATTTAAATTTGATGATGAAGAAAAATGATGAAAGTGAACAAAAAAGTTGTTTATTTTTAACACAAATTTTCGATTTAAACTTCGTTTACAAAATAGATAGAGATATTGTTATAATTTAATATTATATCAGCAGTTGTTTGCTTACAACTTAATAAGTTTAATGATCTGGACAATTTATTCGTTTAGCCATACATGAGTGCTTTTTGAAGGTTTAATTGTTAAGCCATTAAGTCAAAATGGCTATATGGAATAAGCTAGGATCCCTTACTTGTCCCCGTTAAGCCATCTCAAACAAATTAATATCAAAATGCTTTAAAAATAATCCAACCTTTTTCTTTTTGCCCGTCTAAATTCAAACAACCATTTTTTCTCCTCACTTACAACTTAATTTATATCAGGCGTAATACAAAAAAATAAAATAAATAAACAATCCTTAGTCACACATTTAAATATAACTATATACTTGTATTTTTCCTTTACAAAATAGATGCAAATATTGTTACAATTTATTATTATTTAATCATATAACAATAACCAAATATAAGAACACAAGAACGATGAAATTATACATGATTTATCATCAAATAAAATAACAAAAAACGTAGTAATTTTATGCGACTTGAGCTTGGGTGTCAACAATGTTCTGTAATCGCATATGATTACAGTATAAAATCATATATGATTTAACTGTTTTCGTATTTTATCGTTTCTGGTTGATTTCTTTTTTCTTTTCAATATAACTTATACTATTTAGTTATAATTAAATTAATTAACAAGCGTAACCAATATTCAACCATGGCAAAAACTTGTCACATCGCCGGTCAGGCCCCGGGGAAGCCTCATAAATCGGGTTGGGGCCGGAGACAAATCTCCGGCAACGGCAATAATCACTAAAAATCATCATTTTTCCCGCCAAGCCAAAGCTTTCACCCAGCGCTCTCCCTTTTCCCTCTAAAAAACCTTGAGATAAACCCCCACCGGCAGCCGCCGCCACCACCGCCATCACGAGGCGCTGCTGGTTGATGTTATCACTCCGGTCATGCTGTTACAGTGCGGCTTACACCAACGTACACTCTCGCCCTATCGGACATTCTCTTCTTAAATTATCTCACCCATTATCACTTCCCTCTCCTTTTCTCTTTCTCATACAATCTGCCAAATACTCCAACAGGATGTCATCGTCTCGTCCCTCCGCCTTCGATGCACTCATGTCCAACGCTCGTGCTGCTGCTGGCAAGAAAAAGACCCAGTCGTCTTCCCCTTCCCCCAAGAAACGAAAAACCCTAGATTCAAAATCCCCAATTAATTCGACTTCAATTAGCGATGCTAAACCTCCCGAAGTCTCACCAAAACCCGAGAAAACGTTGGATGTGAAACAAATCAAAGAAGAAAGCAATTTGTCGAATGGGTCCAAACAAAATGAGCCAAACCCTAATTTGGCATCCTCCGAGGAAGAAAAGGCCTCCAAGAAACCACGGGTGATTAATGTGGATGAAAGTATTGCTCAATTGAAGAAGGCGGCAGCAAATTTTGATCCCCAAAAGGCAGCGTTTTGGGGGGAAGGAGAAAGAGTGCCGTTCCTGTTTCTTGTCAGGGTGTTCGATGCAATTTCTAAAGAGTCGGGTCGGATTGTGATCACCGGAATTGTTTGTAATATGCTAAGGACTGTGATTAAGACAACACCTGATGATTTGCTTCCGGTTGTATACCTTTTGGCCAATAGAATTGCGCCAGCTCACGAGGGACTGGAGCTAGGAATTGGGGATGCTTCCATTATCAAGGCACTTGCTGAAGCTTGTGGTGCAAAAGAAGCACATATTAAAAAGCAATACAAGGTAAGTTTGCAAGTTATTGAATTGGGGATTAAGTAATATGCATTTTTCTACATTTTACTCAACTCTAACTCACCTTATTTATGTGCTGCTTGTTTGTATATTCACGAGAAGTGACATCTGATATATATTTTGATGGCAGGAACTGGGAGATTTGGGTCTTGTTGCCAAAGCAAGCAGATCATCCCAACCTTTGATGCGTAAACCTCAACCATTGACAGTTACTAAAGTTTTTGATACATTTCGGGTTATTGCCAAGGTGCACCTTTTACCTACTAAATTGGCATGACAGTTGAACCTTTTGTGTGTGCCAAGCAAAACATAATATGCAGTTTTCTCTTCTGTGCTATCTTAGAAGCTTTTTGAAAATTTGTATACTTATATTTGCTAAAATACTACATTTCTAAAGTTAACGTTTGATTTCAGTTGATGTATTTGGTACTGGGCAAATAGCAAAGAATATAGCTTGAACATGCTATTGGTTACTTCAATGGATTTGCAGTTCCCTTTAAGGTTACAACATCAAAAGAAAGTAATATCGAGTCTGTGAGCCTGTAATACCCAATGAGAATCTTAGTTGAACTTGTGCATGAACTAATTGCTCTTGCTTGGATAGTGATCTTAGATTATTCATTTATGATTAGCATCCTATTGCTTAGGAAACAGTTGGATCAATTTAGTTTAGTTCAGACATGTATTAATCCATGGAAACATGAAAATGGTTGCATGTTCAACAGAAAACCATTGCTTAGCTGTTCTCTATTCTCTGTTTTAAATTTTGATAGGAGTCTGGCAAGGATAGTCAAGATAAGAAGAAAAATCACATCAAGGGACTTCTTGTTGCAGCAACTGACTGTGAACCTCAATATATGATCCGTCTACTTCAGGTTATCATATGGACTTCACATGAGATTGTTGTTTTGGATTCTTTGTTTCGTCATTGACATAACTACTTTGGACTTTGTTTCCATAGACAAAATTGCGGATCGGTTTAGCAGAGCAAACTCTCTTGACTGCCTTGGGACATGCAATTTTCTATACTGAAAAACATCCATCACCTCCAGTGCACACAGATTCACCTCTAGAAGAGGTCAGTTCACCTTCATTTATTAGAGAAGAAAGTTTCTTGAATCCTTAACGACCAGTTATTTCTCTTTAGTTGCATTACAAGAATTAGTTTCTTAGTCATGCATATTAGTCATGTGATATCATATTGTACATTCATAGTATTATGTGATGTATGCAATTCTGACAGTTTATTATAACAATATGAAGCTAAAAGTCTGCTTGCTGTTGGGTCCTCTGTTGCTGTCAAGTGGATCTTGTGACTGTGTGCAATGTGTTTATATGCTTTTACTTGATTCTTTCACTGTTTCCACCATGTTTATGTTAGACACTGAGCTAGAGGGGCAAGCTGTTGATTTTTGTAGCTCTTTTTTCTGCATGAATTATGTTTATATTTGTCTTGGTGCATAATTTATTCATTTTTGGGTTCTTTCTTCTTATGTGGCAGCTTATTGTAAAAGGAAAGTGGAGAAATGAATTGTCTGTATGTCTAACAGAAGCATGAGTGCATTCAAAGAGTAATACTGCCGATATTTGAATATTATATATTCTTATTGATGTGCAACTCCTATTTCTTGCTCCCTTTTTAGGAACAAGCCTCGAATCAAAGAGGCTGTGGATGATATCTCTTGAAAAGTTAACATGAGAGCTATTTGGCCTAGCAAGTTAATTTAAAGCTTTATTTCAAAAGAAACACCAGAATCTCTACGAATTCACACCCAAGATGAAGGCCTCACACCTGATCCACTCAACAAAGGGAACGTATATCAAAATCTCAAAATATGAAATCATTCAATTAATAGATCTAGGACAATTACAGCTTTGTTTATAATGTATGAAATCCCTAAAACCAATTGGACATTGGTTACAATAAATAATTATAAGAATCCTTTTGTAAGAAATAAATATCGAGTTAGTCCTAAATATTAAATAAATATAATAATTACATCTTCTATAACCCAAGTAAATACTTATGGTAAAATTACTTATTGCCTGGATGTAGCAATTCTTGTCTTGAATTTTCTATTCCTTACAAATGCGATTACCTAATTTTGTCTATTTTGTGCTTTCTATCATTGCTCTTAGAACCTGATGAACACCGTAGCTTAACTGTTCATATTGGGGTATTTGGCTTCTTCCTGGAAAGGGTAGGTAAAGGTTTTTTATAGTGGTTGTGCTTGTGTCAAGGCAAGGGAGGAAGTAGGAAGATAACCATTAGAAAGAAATTCAAAATGTTCTGATGCTGCTGTTATTTTATAACTAAAATATAAAGGAATTGACAGAAAACAGAAGATTTATTAGTCGGCCAGCTTTCGGAGGCTGGAACTCTTTCTATTTCCCCTTTATTAACTTTATCAACACCAAAGACCTCCCTTACCTTCTCAACCCCTGCTGACTCACAGCTTCTAACTGACAACTGCTACCTCCCCTCCTGGCTCATTCACTTTAATAACTAACTAACATTTCACCACTTGCTTCTTGTTTCTACTTGACTACGTAACTCCTCTTTCAGTCTGTAACTTGTACCTTTTTCACTATAAGTTGACTTTCTTATTGGTTTGGGAACATCAAAAGGAAAGATCTCCTTTTTGGTAACCCCTAAATTTTTACAAGGTTCCACTGCCAAATCAAAAGCGGCCGCTACTTGAGGAGAGACAAAACTATGGCTGGCTCCACTGTCCACTAACACCTCTACCGGTACCCCTTTGATCTTTCCCTTGATACGGAGCATGTTCTGTGCCTTGTTACCTTGGTGTTCTGTCCAAGCGAATTACATTCCAAATTCTCTTTGCCTTCTCCTTCTTTCAATTCCACATCGATTACTTCTCCTGTCTCATCCACCCATTCATCATCCGCCAATATTACCATGCGCAGTTGCCGCTCGGTACACTGATGGAGAGGATGGTACTGTTCCCCACAACGAGAATACAATTTGTCAGACTTTTGATCCATGAGTTCTGCGTAAGGAAGATGTTTGATTCCTCGATTTCTTTCATTCTCCTTTTGATCACCTGAACAACCCTCAACGGTTGGACCAATTGAGGCGTTGAATGTGATTTTGTAAGAGCCTGTTTATTCAGTCCCATGGTTCCCCCAGACAGCCCAGATCCAAATGCTCTTCGTCCCATATTTGAATCCTGGGTCGATACATACCCCCCCCCCCCTTTCACAAGCGACCCAATCGCCACACTTCTTCCTCCGTTCCAAGACCGTGTGGTTATACTCCAAGGAACCACAGACCCTTGCAGTTCTGACTCTACATCTTGTGCTATCTTCATCACTTGAACACGGTTTATGGGGTTGAAGGTGCGAACCTTCAATCTGATTTTGGGATGAAATCCTCCCACAAAATAACCTAGATATTGTTCTTCAGATAGACGACTTACCTGAGATGAGATGTATTCAAACTCTTTAATAAACTCGTCCACCGACCCCGTCTGTGTGAGATCTTTCAATTCTTCAAAGGGTTATCGCTCTGTCTTCCCCCGTATCTCTCGATCAAGGCCAGTTTGAATTTCTTCCAGGTGAGGTTTTCCACCGTTGCACTCAAGAGTTTGAACCATTAAATTGTGGTTCCATCCATGCTTAATTTGGCCAGTTTCACTTTAATATCTTCTGGGGTATTTTGTACTTTAAAATAAAACTCTGCTCTCGTAATCCACCCTACTGGATCCTCCCGACTAAACATTGGGAGTTCGACCTTCTTCACTGCCATACGAAATTCCTTCAACCGATCATCCGTTCTATTGTTGATAGGAGGTGGATCCTGTGGTCGATCCAACAGCTTCACCAAATCAGCTACCATTGCCTCTCTGAATTTGGCCAAGGATCTCTGCAAATTTTCTTCCATCTTCACCACCGCATCTTCCAAAGCTTCCACTCGACCAGTCATATTAGTGCGTTTTGGCGGCATTTTCGAAATGCTAGCTCCTCTGGAGGATCCGGCAGGTCGGACCAATTGATAGAAAACAGAAGGAAAGTAATGGAAATTGGATTACGAGAAAGGGAAAATGAGCGTAAGCTCTACACCAACAAAGAACTACCGGAGTCAGGGACTCCTCTCCAGAGAATTCTCTCCTAGAACAGAAAATAGCAAAATAACTTAATACCCCTTATTCCCACCTCAACACTAACTTTATTCCTTTTCTAACGACCTGCTGCCTTCTCTCTTCTAGTGTACACCTTCCAAACTTTGGGCTTCTTACCCACTTGAGTGACTATGGGCTTTTGGGCATCAACATCAGAATTCCCAACAGTTGGCTTCTCTTTTCAGAATGACTTTCTATAGCATAGGTTCTATGCAAGTATCTATGGTTAAATTTAGGTAGTAAAGAGCCATGTTTTTGTATGAAAACTATTTCTTCTTATGAGACATGATCACCCTGAGGGTGTAACTATTAAGGAATGGCATTTGGTATTCTGTGCCCCCAAAAGAGTCTCTGCTGGTGTATGAGGTTTATTTGGTATTTCTTCTTGTTTCTAGATCATATCTAAAGAAGGTAGAGGCATTGGTGGACAAGAGAGGCAGCTTTGGAGGAAGGAATAGGAAATCATAGAAAATACTTATTGGTTCACACGAGTGTATTGGCTTGTAGGTATAGAATATAGATAGCTAGCCACTCTGTCTTCTTTCTTGCAGCTTATAGGCCTAGCCTTTATGGTAGAAAAAAAAATGATATAGAAACCTAATGATCTCTCTTTCTCATGAATTGATCTTCTTGAGTTTGCAAAGTAATTGGGACTGACAGGAGGATAAATATAAGAACTCCAAGTTGAAAGGATAATATGAAAGGTCTACTGGGGATGTTTTTTAATCATTTAACAAGGAGTAGTGATCATCCAAAACTAGGAAGTCGATGATAGTGTCTAAAATGCATTATAAATAGGACTTATTCTATGATCTGGGATAGCTTCTATCTACCAGTTATTTTTGATGTATGAATTGTGTTGATTGTTGGTTGTAAAATGCTTTTATTATTTTGCCTCTTTGCTAACTCCTTCTATTATGTCTTCAGGCTGCTAAAATTGTGAAACAAGTATATTCTGTAATTCCCGTGTATGATAAAATTGTCCCTGCTCTTCTTTCTGATGGTGTATGGAATCTGCCCAAGACGTGTTGCTTTTCACCCGGTGTACCAGTTGGACCTATGCTAGCTAAGCCAACTAAAGGGGTATCTGAGATTTTAGATAAATTTCAGGATATGGAATTCACTTGTGAATACAAGTATGATGGGGAACGGGCTCAGGTAATGTTATTAAGTTAATGAAGTCGTAAAAAAGGAGCACAACAAGACATTATGAGTGGCTAACCAGTTTCAATTTACACAGATACATTATATGGAGGATGGCACAGTTCAGATATATAGCAGAAATGCCGAAAGAAATACCGAAAAATTCCCTGATGTTGTTGTTGCTGCTTCAAGGTACTTTCTAGCAATTGCTTCCCCATTTTCATGCCGTGTTGAGCCAATTTTCTGATTTTTAAATATGTTGTCTGATTGAGGCAAATAAGCCATTTAAATCTGTAATTGTTTTTGCAGAGTTAAAAAACCAAGTGTAACGTCGTTTGTTCTGGACTGTGAACTGGTTGCATATGACCACAAGAAGCAAAAAATTCTCCCTTTCCAGGTGACCTTTTTCTCTGATCATGTTATGCTTTATCATAAATTTGTCATTGCGTTTCTTTTACATGGGACATTATGTTTGCTATTGATTATTTATAGATTCTAAGCACACGTGCTCGGAAAAATGTCGTCATGAGCGAAATCAAGGTTGATGTATGCATCTACGCATTTGATCTGTTGTATCTAAATGGACAACAGCTTTTACAGGAACAACTTAGTACGCGTAGAGAGGTGAGGTATCCTTCTACTGCTGTTACTTGGATCTTAACCGTCCACAAAAAAGAACAAAAAATGAAATACCACACCCAAAACTACAGATAATTTTTCATTTTTATGGTTATCATTCGACTCTTAGTGATGATTGGGATTTGAGTTGCATATTTCAGTTGATCTTGTTTTGTTTCTTGAGCTTTTGAACGTGTTGAATTATTGTTTTTTTCAGCGTCTCTATGAATCCTTCAGGGAAGAACCTGGATTTTTCCAGCTTGCAACAGCCATAACATCAAACGATCTGGAAGAAATACAAACATTCTTGGATGCTGCTGTGAATGCCAGGTAATAAGCCTCTCCATTCAGTTCATTCAAATCTTCACATTTTTAATTTATCGATAAATTGAGGTAGTAAGTATTTTCTTTGGGTAAAAGAGATTCTCAACTACTTAACTATAGACTATAGTAATTTTTGGCCCTTAAATCCTTGTTATTTTTGCAGTTGCGAGGGATTGATTATCAAAACATTAAATCGGGATGCTACGTATGAGCCTGCAAAGCGATCAAATAACTGGCTCAAGTTGAAAAAAGACTATATGGACAGGTATTCGTTATTCCCTCTCTTCAATACAGTCTCCAGTTATGATGGTGATCCATGTTGCTTGGTGCAGTATTGGTGACTCGTTAGATTTAGTACCCATTGCCGCCTTCCATGGCCGAGGAAAGCGTGTAGGTGTATATGGCGCATTTCTCCTTGCTTGTTACGACAGTAATAATGATGAATATCAAACAATTTGCAAGATTGGTAAGTGGCATTTTCTCTTATAATAGTAAAAAAATTGCTACTTGGCTGATTTTATCCTTTTAGACATTCTCCATGATACTTACAACATTAGAAATATCCGACTTACATAGGCACCGGATTTTCGGAAGCCATGCTTGAAGAGCGGTCTACCAGTCTTCGTTCTAAAGTGATCCCAAAGCCAAAGGTTTTGTTGCTTCTTTTGATTTTGCATGTATGGGCATCCTTTAAACTGTTTTATATGATTATTATATATGTTAACTCCGATTTTCATCTGTTGGCAGTCGTACTACCGGTATGCAGATACTATAAACCCCGATGTGTGGTTTGAGCCAACTGAGGTGATCTTTAGGTTTTCCATGAATTATTCTGCATCTTTATTGTACTCATCTTCTTTTCAATGTATTGAAGATGTCTTGTCCTAGTAGTACCAAACACCAGACAGACAACTTGTCCAGTTCAATCTGTGCACCTGACGGATGCTTGGTTATCATTTCAGGTTTGGGAGGTTAAAGCTGCAGACTTGACCATCAGCCCTGTTTATCGTGCTGCAATTGGTGCGGTTGATCCTAATAAGGTTTATATTTAAGATTTATTAGGTTATTGTACATCCTATTTGTTATCTCTTTTGCAGTTAATGACACGAGTCTTTTTGTCTCATTGCTTGTTTTATTTAAAAAAGGGCATTTCACTAAGATTCCCGCGTTTACTTCGTGTGCGTGAAGATAAGGGTCCCGAGGAAGCTTCATCTTCAGATATGGTGAGGAACCATCAATTGCTATTTCTTGATTAGAGTCGATATTTTACACTTGAAGATCAATCGCTAGTGGATTAAAATGATGAAAGTTTTATGTTTTTTCCTGTGCCGTTATTTTCAGGTTGCTGACATGTATAATGCTCAGAAACATACCCAACATAACAATCAAGATGACAACGAAGATGAATGAAACGATCACAGGCAAGTCTTCTGCAATCCTTTTAAGTAGACGACGATGACTCTAAATTCTTATTCTTGCAATTTGTGTAAATGCTAAAAAAGCAGTTCTATATGATTCCTGGATTATAATCTGCCATGAAACTGAGGATTTTGATTGAAATTTAACCTTGGATTCCAGGTTACCCAACTTAGGCTATCGTGTATCTTTTAAGAAAAAAAAATCGTCTTTGAAAGAAAAATAATGACTTACAGCTGTGTAATTTTTACTTCTGTGCATTCTCCTGTTTTTCCCATAAAATTTCTATTTGATCTTTTTGTGGGATCCACTGGTAATCCGGATACTGGTAGGCTATTGGCCCTTTGCTATCTTTTGCTAACATTTATTTATGGACCCTTTGCTATCTTTTGTATCTTTTGCTAACATTTATTTATGGACGTTGCTGTTTTAAGAGTATATGTTGATTGTTATGGGTAATGCTATTTGCATCCTTTTTATGTCAGAATCAAGTCTATTCATGGATTGAAAATGTATGAAGTAGGTTTTGATGTTGATGTATGTGAAGAAGAAATTTACAGGTAAAAGTACATTTAACAATATATAAGGGTGTATTTACCCGCATTATTAAAAATAAGGTTTGAACTTGAATAATGAAAGACTATGAAAGCAATCAACTTTTAGGATGGTAGTATCCCCTAAAAAGGGAACATAACAACTAGTTTGAAATATGGGAAGCAACTTTTAATAGGTAGGTAGGTGCTTTACCACCATTACTGACTAATACCTAAAAGAAAACCACCACCATCACTCTTAAAAGTCTACACTATAGATTCCATTTTAATTTTGTGGGTTTTGTTTTCAGGAAGGATAAATGCACATCTATTTATTAATATCATCCTTACGTATATTGATGTCAAGACAACTGTAGAATTTGATTTGATTTTGATATAAATAGATATGCATATAGTTTGTTCTATTTATTAATACCATCCTAACATACATTGATATCAAGATACCTGTATAATTTGATCTGATTTTGATATAAATAAGTATGCATACAGTTTGTTCTGTTTTACACTAGTAAAATAGCATTAATCATGGCATGCTAAAACTGAAATGAAAAAGAAAAGAAAAGAGAGAATGGAATTATATAATAGAAGAAAAGCAAATAGGTTTATGTTAGATCTTGATTCTGATTTGTGGGGCCAACATTTCTCACCTTCCGGTGGTTGGCTTATACATCTTGTCAGCATCCAAAGCCCTAAATAGCAATTGGCAAACAATAAGCATCAATCCATAGTTATTATGCTCATGGATGGATATATCTAAAAATTTAAGTACGTGGGAGAATATCTTTTCAGTTTTGCAATTAGTTATCTCAAATTCAGTTAAAATGTTTTTTGTTTTATATTTTTTTGATGGTTAAGACCTGATACATTAGGATCAGGAAGACGGTGATGTCATAGGACGGAGGGCGTCATCGATGGGGTGGGGTGTATGGGTGCGTTTGGTTTGTATGAGACATGATAGAACATAAATCTAGTGTTCCATGCTTGATGTGACATAGACTAAGATATGATAGCATTGAGTGGAATAAAAATGCATTTTTTTTACCAAAGCATATGAAATAAAAATCTTAAAGATGAGACAAGATATGTATATTACTAACTTTCCCAGATCAATTAAAATCCTAAAAACATTTCACAATTCGTTCACCTGCTTACATCACTCTCGTTTGTTCAGTTTTGTTGAGTCGCATATATACACCTAACAAATTTTAATGATTATTTTACCATATCTTGGACTTGGTGCAAGTGACACCAATTATAAAATTGGAATACATATTTGGAGTTTCTGTAGTTAAGTCCCAAAGTTCATACTTTTGTCATACATAATTGATTTTAAATTTTAGGTGGTGTTTGTTTTTTGAAAAAAACTCTTATTTTACCACTTATGTCTGATTCGGTCAGACATAAGGCAATTCAGACTGTTTGTTTTTCTTTTTCTTTCAGAGCCACTTATCACTTATTTTCCTCTTAAAAATTAAGTGATAACCTAGCCACTTATTTTCCTCTTAATCCTAAAAACTATCCAGAGAACCGATTTCTACTTCATCATTCGATCGACTTCACCCTCTCAATCGATCGACTTCACCCTCCATCGCCTCTGGTGGCTTCAAATTGACCCAAATCAGTTCCAAATCAAGAGGGTTTTCTTCTCTGTGGGTTTTCGCCACTGTGTGTTTTCGTTCTTGTGCAAACCAGTAGTTGTGCACCTTTATTCTCGTGAATCAAGGTATTTTCGTCCCTGTAGTTTTCATCATGATGGAGATTTGCTTCGATTTTAGAGGTGGATTTGGGCGTTGGATTTTAGAGAAGGAGTGGTGGTGGACGATGGTTGATGTGGGTGGAGATTGAGGATGGAAGACTTGATGTGGAGGAGAAGGAATAATTAAAGGAATCTTGGGAACATAAACAAAAGTGAAATCAGAATTTATACATATTCATATGTTTCGTTGGTTACAAAAGCAAACTATTGATTCAGATTTCAGACTTCAGACGTTTGTCAGTTTACAAAAACAAACAGTCTGACTGATTCAGATTTCAGACTTCAGCACCACCTCTTAAAAATCAGAAGTGAAATTAGACTTCAGACTTCAGCACCTCTTAAAAAACAAACGCTACCTTAGACTTTCTTTTGAATATTTTAAAGTGTTTATTATAATTTGTTTGCATTATCATATGAAATAAATTAATAATTAGGATATTATTTTATAAATATATATATGATCATGTTCAAGAGAAAACTATAAAAAGAAAATGAAAAATTGAGGAATCTTAATAATCATTCATTCTTACAGTATGTACATGTGTATACAACTAATTGGAGATGTGTTCTGGTTTCTACACATGTGTTACTGTTGTGCACATGTGAATGTCGAAAAAGTTATTTGTATGCATATGTACATATCGTACAGGTGAACAATTATTAGAGTATCTTTTAGTTTTTTTACGGTTTTTTCTGAACCTCACTCTATATAGATATACGAGGGAGGTTTAGGGAAAACATAAAAAAAAAAGAACACCTTAGTAACCGTTCATCTGTACTATATATATGTATGTATACAAAGACAACTTACATGTTTGCATGTCGGATAGATAAATGGTTACCATAGTGTTTTTTAAAAAAAAATTTCCATGTATTACACATGTGCTAAGTTTTGTACTTCATAGCAACGTATATGCTCAGGTAGTTGTGTTTTGGGTCCTTTTTTAGGGTTTTTTTATAAATAAATAAAACCCATATCGGGTATCTTTTGTTGGTCAAATTTATATCATCTTTTATAATAGAAAATATATATTTATATATTATAATAATACTAAAAGAAATCAAATAACCATGAAGTAATAATGGGGAGATTTTTGCTATACAAATGGGTAGAACCCCTCCACCTGATAATAATACCCAGTTCCAACAATGATTATATATCTAGTGAGTAAAAGTCTCTTCTACTTGTTTTCGTATAGTAGGGGAGTCAATTGATGGCGATTCTTTGGTATTTGGTCTCTGTGGAAGAATCAGACCCTTCAGGAGAACCCCTTTTCTTGTTAAATTTCCAAACCAAATGATGGAGGGATGGTGGACTTGGTAGCACCACCGGTGGCGGTGGAATCTGGTAGGTGTCTAGTGGCGGAGGTGGGTGTCGCCAATGTGGTAGGGGTCCAGCCAGAAGGAGGTTTTGTAACAAAGGCCCTGCTTTTATCACTGCTTCCAAAAGCTTTCCTTTTTCCGGCAATGGGACCACCGGAAAAGGAAGTTCTTGCTCCGATGACCGTGGTGGCGGTGTAAGTTCTGTGATCGGAGATGAAACGATGCTTTCTTCACAATCTGAGGATGAGAAGCCAGCATTGGTGATGGGTTCGTCTTCTATGCTTGAGATGGCGGAGTGTGGTGGTGGTGGTGGTGGTGTGGTGGTTTGATGGTGGTTGTGATGATACTGAAGGAGGAGGGTTTGGTATCTGTTTTGAGCTTCATCTCTTTCGTGAATGGCGTTGTTGAGAAGGTGCTTGAGTTGACTCAGTTGATCATCTTTTAGCCTGAGTTCTTGTTGAGTTTTGAATCTTGCTGCTTCAAGCTCCATTGTTGTGAGCAGAAGTGACTCAGTCAACTCATCTGAACTCTATTTCAATCAAAACCCAGAAAAACGACTCAAAATTAGACTAAAAAGATGCCTCTTTTATCCAAAAGAAGTAGTGAAACATAAAAAGTTGTAATGAAGAAGGTCCTGACCTTTCCATGGCAGAAATAGGAGCAATCAAGAAGACAACTGGTTTGATCTTCCATGGCTGCCTGTCTGCAAATGCAAATGTTAGATATATATATATATAGAGAGAGAGAGAGAGAGAGAGAGAGGGAGAGAGATGAGTAAAGAAAGAAAGGGGGAGTGGGTGGAGTTGGGGTTATAAAGGACTGGTTTTGGCGCTAGTCTTAATTTGGGTACTGTGGCTCTACAGTTTGCCTTTTCATATTTTATGTTTGGGTCCAATGGAAGAAAATAATGACATTTTGCAACAACAAAAAAAAAAACACGAAATTGGTGGGTTCAATAATATTAAAAATCGATCCATCTTCAACCACATGGCATCAGTGTTATTTAAATAGGAACATATATATATATATATATATAATATATGTGTGTGTGTATATCTATATGTGTATATATATGTTGTTTCTTTCACATCTACAACAATATGTTGTTCTTTTGGTTTGTCGGTTGGTGTTTTATTACTTGTAAAATAACGTTTTTACCGTAGGATTGGGGACGCTTAGAAAGACTTCTTTTTTTTTCTTTGACATTTTCTTGTGAAAGCATTGTGGTCCTTTGAAAGGAGAAAAAAAATGTCACATTCACATGCAAAGAGGTTTTCTTTTGTGGTTTAAGAGATCTCTAACATGTACAGTTGTTGGAGCAATTTTTTCTCAAATCTTTAAAATTGAATAACTGTTGGAGATGTTCTAAAAAACAAAAGGTTTTGTTATCCTGGTTAAATAATAATCGTAGTAATGGCAAGGTTGTAAAATGTAGCGTGGCGGCAAGGTTAAACTTCAAGCCTTAGGAGCCAGGTGGAGACCGCAATATTTCGTGTGACTTACGACAAAAAATCTATTTACATAGAATTATATATATATATATATATATATATAAACAAATATTTTATATTATTACTCAATGAGTTAATAATAAACAATTTAGATCAGGTTATATGTATTAAAAACTGACAAATAAAATATTAATAACGTGAAGAAAAATCAAATATCGTGTTATAAAAATCATGCATTAGACCACGTTTTATAGGCTTAACGTGACACACAACACAAATCTTGAGTCACAATATTTATTTGGTTTGTTTATATATTTTTATTTTATTATATTACGAGTATTATTTGTATGATATTGAGACATGTGATTTGAAGATTTGGTTATGTGAAAATGCCAAAAAGATTTTGTCCCGTTCATAATAAGTTAACATATATAGCGTGTATTATACGGGCATCTCCAATATATAAACATCAAATCAATAAGAATTGATGTAAAGTTTAGTAGAAACAATAAATCTATTTCAATCGATGACACACAATCTTAAACCATAACGTAAAATTCTAGATATATGTTTTTATCTTTTTCATTTGGTGGCGTCGTTTTAATAATTTGGTGTAAAATGTAGTATTTTGTATGAATTCTGGTGTTTTCCAAATGTTTTTTTAACAACTAAAAAAGCTCGGAAACACTCCATACTTTGAACTTTTTGTAGATTGGAATTCAACTTCAGAAAAATAAAAAAAATATCTAGACTTGGGGATTGCTTACAAATTTTTTTTATTAAGTCATGTATAGATAAATTTGTCTGTCCGGATAAATGGATGTTTTTGTTTATTTTTTTTTATTTGAACCAACAGTCTGAATAATATAAATGACCGATTTACCTCCCAATATTAATTATTTGAACATCAACACAAAAAATCATAAAGAGCTTGATGATTGGTGTATCATTTGGGAAGAAGGTGATACTTTAAATAAGGGATATATATGTCATTTTTGTGGCTGAACGGGGACAACACACATTTCTATCTGTGCGATTAAGCCATGTTCTATGCGAATAAGTCGTAAGTAAACGACCCAAATGAGCTATGCGAATAAGCCAGATAGACTAATAAGCCTAATTAAACCGCAAATAATCAGCCCTTTAGTCTGAAACTTGCCGTGTTTGATTGATTGATTGATTTAAGATTGCTAATAAAACCGTGAGATCCAAATAAAACCAACCCCGACTCGTCTTTGTAATAGCCTTAAGCCAATTTGGCCTTAATTTTTACATGTGATTAGAAAAGGCCAAATGTGTCCATCAATTTAGAAATAAATAGGCTTCACAACAAATATTTCATCAATAAAAACAAAGCTTCTTAATGTCTCACTCCACCTCTATTTTGTCGTTCATATAATATAGAAAGAAAAACATTAAAGTTAAAAAAAATACGAATAGATTATTTATATGTGAATCACTGATAAAAAAAAATATGGATTTATATATACATATTTATATGTGAATAATCAATAACAAAATTCACATATAAATCTTTCAAATGAATTTTGTAGAGGTTTATTTATGATTCATATATGAATATATTTTCGATCTTTTATAACGTTCCTATTTAAGCTTTCGCTTATAAGTAAAATAATATATGTGGTTAAACATAAATAATTGGTGACGGTTAAAAAAGGTTTCATGGTCTAATGATGAGACCATGTGAGGTCTTCCCTTTCCCAACAAATAAGAAGTCTCTACACTTTTAAGAAGCAAAAGTAGTTATCAACATCTACTGAAACCAGTATTGCTCTTAATTTTGTATCAAGACAAACTGATCAATTTTCGTTCTAATGGTATCAATTTAGACTGTTATCAGTTTAGTTGATACCAATCTAATTGGTTGGTAGGTGGTACGAGAAGTCGTGTACCACAATGATATTGCACCGCCACGATTTATTTTTTAATTATCTATTAGTTAAAATCATCTCATTCGTCTAATCTGTGGAGATGGATCCTGTGATCGTAGATAACCACAATCATAGGCAGGTAAATCTTTAGTCGTGCGAATTTTGATCATTGATGTTACGGCCGTGGATGATATTCTCGACGGTCGAGTGTGCGGATTTTTTTACCGAAACATTACGCGAAACGGAACATTCGTTGAATTATCTTCGAAGTCGGAAGATGGTTTTTTTTTACTATTTTGGCAAAAGTGTTTACAGAGATTATCATAATTGGAGTAAAACACTTTTTTTTAGAACTTTTCAACCAAAGGGTTGGTATTGACCCCTCTTTTGCCATTTCACTTTTATTCTTCATTTTAACCTTTTCAATCACATTTTTTTAATTAATATAACTTATTAAATATAAAATAAATAATTTATAGCAATATCTATATTATATTATAAATCATTTGACAAAAACTGTTAAAAACCATTTATTATGTATGAATTACATATTACTTAAAATTCAAGATTACAAGTAAATTATGCATAAATACATCTTATTAAAACTGCATGTTTGAATTCGTGTAACTAATTGCGGATAAACATAATCAAATAAAAGATAAACATCTCATTTTAAAATATAAAAAATCTAGAATATAATTAGGATAATTTTCGAGTTCTAACAAAATAATTAATTATTATCTTTATAAGAAAATTATATTATTAAACCAAATACAAATTACTTCGTTATTGAATCTAAATCAAATTATAATTTTGAATTAAAAAATTACACAAAAAATAAGAATTCTAAATAGTTAATCTAATACTAATATCGATATATTTTTGTCAAATTTTTATGATATCTTTAAATTTATATTTTATTTAAAAATAAAAAACATCATCGCTTTTTTCAAAATCACATTATATTATAATATCGACTGAGATAAAGAAGAAATAAAATATTAAAATCAATATATATCTCGTTGTATTGCACGAATACTCTTATATTATTAATAATGTGAATTATGAAATATGGTGTAATTGAAAAATATGGTATGATATTGATATGGAGCAGGTTGATTGGACTTTGGAGCGGTAGAAACTGAGCGGTCTTTGATGGGAAGTAAAATTGGTCCCTATTTTGACCATTTCTGGACCTAAACTCATTCAGGAATCCCTGACCGCGAAACAAATTCTCCTTTTTTTTTTGTTTATTTAAGTTTTTTTAAATTAAATCAAATGCATGAGATATCATACATGTTTAAATTTTAAAAAAATTAATATATCTAAAATTAAAAAGAATTTAGTTAAATACAAAAAATATACATCATCATATAATAATTAAGATATCGACAATCAAAAAGAATTAAATTTAATTTAAAAAAATTAATGTCACATGTATCAAAACCTAACGAATAATATTCGAAACCACATCTAGTAATATTCAAAATATATTAAAACATAAATTAACATTTACCAATTTAATAGAAATAAATAATATATAATATAATTTATTAATTAATATATGTACGGGTACGGGGGAAGGTGGGGCGGGGAGTGCGATACCCATCCCCGGTTTGAGCCAAACAGGGATCCTCGTCCCTGTCCCCAAGACCTGGTTTAACGGGGAATCCCGTCCCTTATTGGGGCTAGTGGACCGGGTTCCCCGACGGGTCGGAGCCAATTCACGTGCCTAATAATTGTAACACCCGAGAAATCCTTGATAATATTAATATGAGTTTTACCTTGAGTTTTTGACTTTAACATTTGGTTTATTAAGCCTGTATAATAATTAAGTATGTAGGAGTTTGTTGGGCTTGAAACATGGGAAAAGGGCCGAAATCATGCGAAAACAGCAAAGTGGCATGACAACCTGGTGCTCGACCTCAAGTCGCGGCTAAGGTCTCATGGGGCTCTGGGCACTCTCAACTTGGACACAGAAAGTTACTCGACCTAGCACGCGGGCAAAAGTCACAGGGTACATCGCTCAAATCACCGAGTGGTTTGGTCTTGGACGCACACGACTTGCATCGCAAACTGAAGTCACGAGAAGATATCTGACGCGTTATAAGGGCTGTTTTGGGAGATTTTCACTCAATTTTCTCACTTATCTTTTTTCTCTTCCATTTCTCTCCAACCCCTCTCGTTTATATTAAACCTATAGCTTTTAGTGGTTGTTTGAAGACATTAAAGAGTATTAAGTGCAAGTATTCAAATCTTGTGTTATTGGAGCTTCCAGATCTCATCTCTTCTCTCAGTGTTTTCTTAGTTTCTAGGTTTTTACGAAAACCAAGCATTTTGAGTTCATTCTAAGATTTTCTAAACTTTTTATACAAGTCAAATGTTATATTTTATTATCCTAAAACACCCTCCTTGATATGTTTTATATATTTATCGATTTTGACCAATTTTGAGTATCGTGGTAAATTTGGGGGATTTTTCCTTATTTTTACAAGTAAATGTTTGGTCGTTTAGAATATGTAAAAGTGTGATATTGGTAAACATATCTTAGTTGGATACTTGAATCTTATGATTTAGGATTATATTTGGTATCACATCCTTAGAAGAGTTTTATGTAACATCATCGTATTTTGGGAAAAGAGAAGTATTGTTACTTGTGAATCAAAGTCATCCTTCGGTTTGTGAACTCGTTTGGAAAAATGAAGATTTTGATACTTGATTCGGGAAAAGGGAAAATATCTTGTTGAAAGTTATGGGATATGGGCCCTTTGATCTTTTGGAAATTAAATATCGATGATGGCATTTAGTATGATGAAAACTATATGTTTGATTATAGTTGGTCACTTCAAAGTTGTGATAAGTATTAGACTGATATGCAATGGATCTATAGACATAGTAGTCGGTTTGTATTTGATATGAGATGGTTTTGTCTGTTTTGTAAGAGAGATAGGCATTGGGTCATGGTGGGCATTATGGTACGGGCTCTTGGAGTTGGATATCGGCCATCATCCATATGGTGTAATTTCTAGTGAATGAGTATAATCAGGATCATCACAGGCCTTGAGTAGATAACGATTGGTTGTAGTCAATGGTCGTTGATCCGTAGTAAGCTTTATAACATGGGGATGTGGTCTACTTTTGAGTTCCACCACTATCCATGAAGGGTCTCCTCCCTTTTCATAAGATGAGTTTTGGACTTTATAGTCTTTCAATAAAATATGTGGGTTATTGGGTTTGATCAAGTTTATAATTCCAACTCATGCTAACTTGCTTTATTCATAAACTGTTTGAAACTCACTAGACGTAAAGCTTAATATATATTTTTTTAAATAACATGTATATCAGGATCTCTAGGCAGTGGGGCTCCGATGGCTTGAACGAAGTGTTGGATGCCAGTCAGACACTTTTTGGGTCCGATAGCTTTTGATGTTTTGGTGTTATGACTAGACAGGATTGTGTTGGTGATGATAGTGACATTCGTCTGTGATCTAAACTTTAGATTGATTTATGTTAGTAGGTTGCTAATTATTATCCATTTACTTGATGTAAACGCTCTTAGTCCATTTCATGGGCGAATTTATACATGGTCAATGTTATTTTCCTTTGTAATTAGCTATTTAAAATTACTCATATTTTTAGCGGTGTTATAATAATGACCACTTTGTGATTTTGAAGATGTAAAAATGAAAAGTGTCATTTTCGATAAACTACGGGACCAGATTTGTAGTTTACTCTTCCGTAAAATGTATAACTGATTTTGCAGCGTTGGACCATAAACGGTCCAATTGGCCACATTTCAGGCCCAATTTAACCATCTCTTTTGGGCCGTCTAATTTTCTCTCTGTTTAGGCCTATACAGCTTTTGTCATATTTTTTCCCTCAAGGCCCAATAAAGTGCTATTTTAAAAATAACTATATGGGTATTCGTGCAATAAAGCGAGATAAATCTCGATTTTAATGTTTAATTTTTATTTTTTGTCTTTATCAATATAATACGATTTTATGTGGTTTTGAGAAATCGGTAATATTTTTATTTTTGAATTAAAATATAAATTTGAAAATAACATAAAAATTTGTAAAAAAATAAATCACTAATAGTATCAAAGTAACTATTTAATAGTTCTCATTTTTTGTGTAACTTTTTTAATTTACTTTTATTATAATTTAATTTAAAATAATAAAATAATTTATTTTTGATTTGAAAATATAATTTTTTATAAAAATAATAATTAAGCATTTTATTAGAAGTCAATGATTATCTTAATTTTTAGATTTTTTATATTTAAAATGGATGTTTATCCTGTATTTGATTATGCTTATTAACAGTTAGTTACACAAATTTAAAAATAGAGCTTTAATAAGTTGTAGTTACGTAAAATTAGTTGTAATGTTAAATTATAAATAATATACATCAATAAATAATATTTCATACATAAAAAAATAGTTTTTAAGATTTTTTATTAAATGCTTTATAATATAGTATATAGATAAATATTGCATTCATTTTCAACAACAATCTTTTAATTTGTATTTTATATATTTTTTTAGAAAATTCTTATCAAAATGAAAACAACTTTCACCTCTTATTTATGTTTTATAGAACCAACTTTAAACGTTATCATTTTGCAGTGGTGAAACCAAACGGATTCAAATTTAGCTTTTGGCAAAGAAGGGGTTAAATAAGCAGGATCATACCCAAAAGGAATTATGTAAAGGTTATCAAATGCAAATATTTGAAGAATATCTTGGAAATCAAGAACAAAATCGTTAGCAGCGGCTGCAGCCAAGATAGGAAGGAGACGTGTCGTTAAGCTCGGCGTCCACCAAATGCTCGATGAAATGCCGAAACGACTTTGTATCAAATTCATGGCTGGAAGCTGTTTTTGGAACTTCGAATCATCCCATCGACATTAAAGATTCCATTTCCGAGCACATCGAACAGGCTTGATCAGAAAATATCTCGATTTTGGTATACTGAAAAATTCGTCTTGAGGATGTGCTGGACGACGGCAGGGTCAGCGGTGATGACACACCATTGACTGAAAGGACGGTCGAGGACGCAGGTCAAGGTGGAGTTCCGTACAACGTCGGGCGTCCACTGAGTAAGACGATGCCGATTGGGTAAAGTGGGTTTTGAAGGAGGAGGGTGGAGAGAGGAAAACTAACAAAACGGAGACGGAGATGAATATGGTAACAAAGGCTTTGATGGACTTTGATTGCATTAACAAACGGAGACTAGGAGGGATGGAAAGGGGTGAGGGGTCGTCGGAGATGACAGTAGTGTCGCCGGAGAAGAAGGGTACATTGGAGAAGCTGGCGTCGACGAGATGAATTAGGATTTGTTTTGCGCTTTTTATATGCTTTTCATAGCTTGTATATATAACGCCCCATTATGTTTTAGATTAAGGGAAAAGTGAACTTTCTTGTTTGGAATGATTAAGTCCTTGAACTTTTTTTTGGAACAAATAAGTCTTTGAACTTTCTTGTTTGGAATGATTAAGTCCTTGAACTTTTTTTTGGAAYAAATAAGTCTTTGAACTTTCCAAAACATGTTAAATAAGTCATTGGACAATTTTTTGGCACAAATAAGTCCTTGGACATTCTAAAATATGTTAAATAAATCCTTAGACATTCCAAAAAATGTTAAATAAGTCATTGAACAATTTTTGAAACAAATAAGTCCTTGAACAATCCAAAACATGTTAAATAACTTCTTGAACTTTTATAGAACATGTTGGATACATTCTTATGACTTGTACAACTAGTTAAAATGGTAATTATTTTTTTGTAAATGTAAGTACTTTTTTGTTATATTTGTTTAATTTTATAGATCTAAATACTTTTTGGTTCAAAAAATATTTAGGGGCTTAATCGTTCAAAATATGAATGTTCATTGAGTTTTTTTCCCGATTTTTTTCATTATTTTACCACTTTATTTTTTTCAAAAAGTTATTTAACATGTCTTGGATTGTTCAAGGACTTATTTGTTCCAAAAATTGTCCAAGGACTTATTTAACATTTTTTGAAATGTTCAAGGACTTATTTGTTCCAAAAATTGTCCAAGGACTTATTTAACATTTTTTGGAATGTCCAAGGACTTATTTGTTCCAAAAATTGTCCAATGACTTATTTAACATATTTTGGAATGTTCAAGGACTTATTTAACATGTTTTGAAAAGTCCAAGGACTTATTTGTTCCAAAAAAAAGTTCAAGAACTTAATCATTCCAAACAAGAAAGTTCATTGGTTTTTATTGTACTTTTCCCTTAGATTTATATTTGAATTTTAAAAATGACGTGGCATATTAGGTGGCATTTCCTTGAAGCCACATCATCACCGACAGGTCGTCATGTTAACCGAAACCCTAAATACATGTAAAATTTGGTGTAGACTCCAAATCATAACTTTTAAAGTTGGTTTTCTAAAATATAAATAAGGTGAAAATTGGTTCCATTTTAATACAATTTTCTATATATTTCACAACATCCATATCGGGTGTTTAGACAAATACTATAACATAGAGGAAAAAACTATATTGCATGGTTACAACAAATGATCAAGTCCCTCGAGTGTTATTGGACTGACTGTTTGTCACACTGTTAACTGTTGTAATAATATTTGTGTAGATACTACGTGCACAATTTGATTTCGAGACCCACGGTTACAACTTACAAGTGTTGGGTCTTGGCCACCCCTTTTGGCTCTTTGAACTTGCTATAAATATCACCATTGTAGAACTCTCTTGTTCTCGCCACCAACACAAGTGTAGCCAAGGCTCCAAAGCAACAAACACCAGCCAACACCATAAATGATTGCCTATAACATTGCTTGCCAATGCAAACCAACTCTTTCACCGCTGATCGACCCAACCCGCTGCTTTCCAACACCTTCAACGCCTCTCTATCGTACATCGGGCCAGTGACTCTAACGTTCAAAACATAAGATCCAACCGGGCTTCCTAATTGCGCACAATTGAACAACGTGCTGAAGTGTTTTAGCCCGAATAGCTCTGAAACAATGGCGAAAAGTAGTGGGAGTTGCGCACCGAATGAGAACCCGATGATTATAGACGCAATATAAACGGACCCCGTGAAAGGAAACGCGATGAGGAGGTGACCGATGCAAGAAAGAAGCAGCACGAGTGTCATCATAAGAGGCCGAGGGAATTTGAACTTGATTAGAAGATGTTCGGATACAAAACCCGCGAAGATCCGGCCGAAATAATTCCAAATACTTAGAAGTGACACGATCGTGCTAATCGATTTTCTTGGGTACCCTAACGATTCTCCGATCTGACCAAGATTATCGACCGCGGTGAAGCTCGTTCCGAGCCCACAAAATGTCGCTACGTAAAGAATTGCCATATCGGTGCTTAAGAGCGCTTGTAAGATCGAGAAATCGTCGCCTCTTTCGGGTTTTTTCAAGAAGACGTTTTCAAAAAAAGACAGTTTTCGTTCTGATTTGAAGTTCGAATTCAATGATGGTTCATGATCATCATGATCCAAATTCTCTATTTCAACTTCAGAAACCCTACTTGATTCTTGGTTGGTTTTCTTTAAGAACTCTAGTTCTTGTTTGATCGAGATAAAGAGGGGTGCAAAAAGTAGAAAACAGATGACAGAGGAGCTGCCGGCGTATGCCACCGGTGAAAAAGCCACCAGCTTTTGAGCTATGGTCATGGCCATGATGAACAAAGCTAGAACAATGGACACAATCAAGAAATGGTAGAAAACCCTAATTTCGTTTTCATTGGATTGTTTTACACCGTTTATCTCTCTAATGGTGTAAACGAAAACCACCGATACGGCGGCCGGAAGCCATGCAATAAGGAGGATAAGAGCTTTTGAGTCGTCACCGTAGACGGCCAAGTAAATTTGAGCCATAATGGCTCCACTTAATCCGGTGAAGCCTTTTAACAGACCCAACACCACCCCTCTATTTTCCGGGAAGTTTCTGACGGTGGTCACGAGAACGCCGGTGTTTTCGAAGTTCTGTGCGTTGGCGGCGATGCACATATACATGCACATTTGCCAGACACGTGGCTCCGGGATACGGTGAGTGACGGCGAGCCACATCATGAAGTATCCGGTGAAGTTTACGGCGGCACCGATGAGAAGGAGACACCATGTTGGGGTGACTTCGGCGATAAGGCCGGAAATAACGCCGATATTGGCACCTAAGTCTTTGAAAAATCCGATGAGATTGAGGGTGGTTTGATCATAGGCAAGGGTTGTTTTGATGTCTTTGGAGTAGATGCCGAAGAGGTAGGTTGCACCGGCGCCGGCCATGATCAGAAAAGAAGCAAAAAGTGAGAACCACCGCCCTTGGATGACTTGGATGGCTAACCGGTAAGTCTGACTTTCTTGACCTCCGCCGTCGCGGCGGAGAATGGCGGTGGTTGATTTGGACATTAATGGTGGGTCATTCATATTTCATGTTGTGTTTATTTTGTTTAAAAAAAATACGTAGTCTTAATAGATGGCAACAAAATATTTGCAACTATTTTATGCTGCAGGCATTGAAATTAAAATATTCAAAACAAATTAAACCAAAATATATATATATATATATATATATATATATAAAATGATGGGGACAAAAAAATAAGGTTGTTTTTTTCTAAATTGTTTTTGTTGCAATATACCTACCTTCGTCTAGCCCTTTTAAAAGAAGAAACGATATGTGTTTGTCTAACCTTCGTCGAGAAAGCGTGTTAAACTCTTACATTAACTATATTTAGACTATTTCTCCTGAATATATGTTGAAACCTCTATTTTATCTCGAAGGTCTCTTTTAGGAGCAGTATGGGACTTAATATGTCCTCACATTTACATATGTTTTAAATATATAAAATCATATTCTTTTTTTTTATATCTAACCCGTTATGCAAGCCGACTAATCTCAGAGCGACCACTTGCTTTGCAGATAGTCCAGAGTCACCGCATTTGAACTTCCATGGCCACAAGGGGATTTTTATTCCTCCTTGGATTTGAACCTGGGACCTCTAGATACTTTTGATCTTTAGAGTCAAACTCAAACCAATTAGGCATCACCCTTTTGGTTTAAAATCATATTCTTTATGTTAGAGATTAATCAAATAAAAAAGTGAGTGCATGCACTCTAAAATTATTACAACAATATATATATATATATATATATATATATATATATTTATATTTGTATTGACAAAAACTCAAAACGGTTTAGGATGATACCTGATTGGTTTATGTTTGAGGCTTTGAGCTTCAAAAGTTAAAAATGTCTGGAGGTCTCAGGTAGAATCCAAGGAGCAATAAAAACCTTCTTGTGGTCATGGAGGTTCAAATGTGGTGACTCCGGGCTACCCGCAAAGCTGGTGGTCACCCTAAAATTAGTCGACTTAAATAACGGATTGGATATCTATATTAATAAAAAAAATGATTTAGAAATCATGATAAAGTTGTTCAGAAAATGATGAATAATTTGTATAAATGTCGTTTCTACAATATTCAATGAATGGTTTTGAATAATGAATTTTTGTTGTATTTATGCTTCAAAAGACGAAATTGAATAAAAATCACATTAAATGTGTTTTTTCTGTTTAAAACTTGACTTTATAACATGGGATTATAGCATGTTACAAGTTATTTATATTACTTGAACTTGTTTTCATCAAATTTTTAAATCATAAATTAACCTTATGTTTGTCAAAAATAATATTTTTTTATGTACTTTAGAAATTATAATTGATACGTAAAATAATTATCATGTATCAACCAATTAAATTGGTACCAATTTTTTCTGTTGGTACATATTGGTACAGTTACCAAGATCATAAAACTTGAAGACATTAATGGGGCGTCGGAATATGATGGAATTGTAATGGTCAATTCCGTCGACCAAAAGCGTTTGGTTACCCATGAAATGGTATTGAATTCCAATGATTCCACCATCTGAGGATTTAACCATTCCTTCATGAAAGTGATGAAATTAAAATTCATTTCATCTAAAATTGTGTAAATGACAAAAATACCTTCATCAGACTTTTATAGTTACTCCAATCGTTTCCTATAAAAGAACGTTGTCATCTTCTCGATTGAACACCACTTTCATCTTCTCGATCGAATACTGCAGGTCAATTTCTCAAACCTGTTACTACTTTCTGTTACTGCTACCTGTTACTCCAGTCGCTTCCTATCAATGAACTATTATTGCTTCCATTCTATCTACTGCTATGAATCTATTACGATTTTTGTTACGTACCTGCTTCGATTTATGTTACAACATATCAAAGACTGCTTCAATTTATGTTACGAACCTAACTGCTTCGATTTCTGATTTAATCGGACACTGCTTCCATTCTATCTACTACTATGAACCTGTTACAATTTATGTTACAACCCATCAAAGACTGCTTCGATTTCTGTTACGAACCTGAATGTTTCGATTTCTGATTTAATCGAACACTACTTCCATTCTATCTACTGCCACAAACCTATGACGATTTCTGTTACGAACCTACTTCGATTTCTGTTACAACCTATCGAAGACTGCTTCGATTTTTGATTTAATCGAACACTGCTTCCATTCCATCTACTGCTTGCATTATGATTAATTGAACAATGCTTCCAACCTACCTCATTAAAATGTTAGTTTTATTGTTATTTTAATAATAAAAAATAAAATAATTTAAAAAAAATATCAAAGAAAGGGTATTTTTGTCTTTTTTCATCATTCCATTTCAATTATGTTGCAAACCAAACAGACAGATTTCAATTCATTAGACAAATTACATATCATTTATGCCAACCAAACACTTGGTTAAACCTGATAACATTTTATTTCACTTCCTTCCTGATTCTAATTTCTTTAACATATTTCATTCATTCAGAAATCATCCTGCAAACCAAACGCCTCTAAGCATTCAAATAACATTTGCATATATATATATATATATATATATATATATATATATATAGAGAGAGAGAGAGAGAGAGAGAGAGGAGTGATCAAATGAAAACCACCCTCATTTGTGTAAACCGTGCAAACCACCTTCATCCGTCGATTTCATTGCTTAATCTTATGAAATTTTTTCATGAAATTGTTTAATCTTGTGAAATTGTTTCATATAATACTTTTTTGATGAAGTTGTTTCATATATGGTTGTGAAATTATTTCATATAATACTTAATGAAACTGTTTCATGTATTTCTCTAAAATTAATGAAACTGTTTCATGTATTTCTCTAAAATTAAAATAATAAAGATGATAATATCTATGATTAACACCTTCTACAATAAAAATGATTAATCAACCTTTCATAATTACAAAAAAATGAACAAAATGAAAAATTATGATTGGTTGAATGAAGTTTGCACGGTTTGTACAAATTGAGTGATTTGCATTTGATCGTTCCCATATATATATATATATATATATATATTTTGTACGACTTATCTCTACCTACACAAACATTAAAATAACTTAATAAAAACATTCACTAGTAGTCTGATACAAGCAAACATAGAGGAGCGACGACGGATCGTGTAGTTGGTACCAATTAAATTAGTAAGATTGATACAAATATTGGTTGGTTTGTCTTAGTACAAAATTGACACCCTTAATAATCACAATATAGCCATCATAGTTTACAAAACTCATGGATTTGGTTCATCTCTCTAACGATCATTAAAAAATTTCGTCAAACAAGGGTCATCTTTGTGATTTTTTTTTTGATTTTTTGTTATTTACCCAATTAAAAAACAATAGGAACCAATAATAAAATCCAATCTAATTAAGTAAAATTACATTTTTTTATTAAAAAATAACATTTTTACAAACCATGATGGTCATCTCAAATACCTGTTTATTATTATTCATTTACCATTTCTTTAAGCCATAAAATAGAATATAACAAAAAAAAAAGTCTACTAAATTTATGCATGAATTTATGACGAAGCACATGCATTTATTTTATCCGTTTTGGAATTATTGATGCTTGTCGAATATCGAACTAACGTTACCTTTTTTTTAAATGATTGCTTTTAATATTAAGTGAACCTAAGTTTTATTCTTAAAATTTCCAATTCTTTGATTTTAAAATGATTAATTTCAATATCATAAAGTAATATAATAAATAATTAATGATTAATTAGCGTTCTAAATAAATAGTTGTATGATAAAAATTCAATTATATCAACTACCATTAGTAAGATTTTGTGTTAGAAAAAATATATTGATAGCGTCCTATTTTTTTATGAAGATAATGAATCTTTTTATCGAACGATCAGAAAAAAAAGGTCCGGATCTCCTGCGGGAATGATTTGGAAGAGCCAAAACCAAAAATAATGGTATTTGCTAGCAACCATATGATGGAGGCAGTCAATCAATATATATTTATTTCACAAACATATAAAAATTGTTCACATTGTGAAACAAATATATGTTAATTAATACACTGAATTCAAGCCAAAAATAAAAAAAATCATATAAAATAACATATAATGCACCGATTCTCAAGATTAAAAATATAAACATGAATACTTAATTTTTATGTTTGCAATGCATCATTAAACTGATTATGAAGTAAAAAATATAAAATTATTTTTTAAAATAACTAATTAAAAAATTGATATTTTTTTTAAAGATTTTAAATTCACATATTTAAATTTTAAACATGCATTCTGAAACCAGCTGGATATGAACCACTGTTTTTAAGGTATCATCCCTTTTCAGACACCACTTTCTTCAGATTTTCAATTCCCATATGATCTTTCTTTATTCCCATTTTACCCACTATTTTTTTGACCTTTTACACCACTATGTACAACCCATCAATGCACAATTAAAGCATCTGACATCAAGGGTGTTTCCGTCATTTCATTTCCTACTTTCTCTCTCTAGGGTTTTGAATTTTGTAACTCGCTCTAAAACCTGACCTGCAACAAGACGAACATCCATTCATTATTTTATTGTTATTCTTGATCTTGAAAACAACCCAACTCGACCAAACCCTCTGTTCTTTTGTTCCATCGATTATTAAATTGCAAGATGTGGTTTCATGATTAATTTGTGTTCGATTGAATTACAATCGAACGTCCAACAAACCCACAATCACTATCGCCATCATCATCTTCTTTCATTTTTCTTAATCTCCACTCTTCTTAAATCGCTATCCACAGCCACATTCAACTGATTTGAAGAACCCGATATCTCTATTTGTGTTTGAAGACCAAACAGATGAAGTTGTACAGACTTATGAAGAACAGAAAAGGGTTTTTTCCCCAGATGAAGTTTTCACGAAACAGAAATGGGTTCAAAAGCTTCAAATGGCTTCTATGGCTGTTTATATCTTTCTTCTTCTTAGTTAGATTCATCAGCAATCATCAACCCAACACGAATTCGTTGAAAACAACAATAATTTCTCACACGCAATCCAATGTCGTCTCTCGTGCTGTCTCGGAATCGAACGCCGCCGTGGTTCTCCTTCAAAATCAAGGTTCGTTAATGGAGTCGTCTCCTTCCCATCGCCGATTTGATGTAGAAATGTTCATAGGGTTGATTTTATTCGTTTTGCAGGTTTATTGAAGGATTTGAAGCTTTATATATACGAATTGCCATCGAAATACAATGCCGATTGGTTGTCAAATGATCGATGTAGCAACCATTTATTTGCGTCGGAGGTCTCCATACACAAGGCGTTAATGAACAGCGATGTACGGACGTTTAACCCCTCGGAAGCTGATTTCTTCTTCGTACCCGTTTACGTTTCCTGCAATTTCAGCACCGTTAATGGCTTCCCTGCCATCGGCCACGCACGTGCTCTTCTATCGTCGGCGGTTGACCTCATTTCTTCGGAGCTTCCATTTTGGAACCGGAGCAATGGTTCCGACCATATCTTCGTCGCGTCTCACGATTACGGTGCTTGTTTTCATGCCATGGTATCGAGCAAATGTGATTTAAGTTCGTTAATCTTAATGCATCATGGGTTTCTCTAAATTTCTGATCTATAATATAGGAAGATAGAGCTGTCGCTAATGGGATACCGGAGTTCATGAAGAACTCGATTATATTACAGACGTTCGGCGTTAAACACCGGCATCCATGTCAAAACGTTGAGCATGTTGTCATCCCACCTTACATCTCGCCGGAAAAAGTTCAGGCGACGCTATCACAGTCCTCGATAAATGGCCGCCGGGATATTTTCGTGTTCTTTAGAGGCAAAATGGAAGTACACCCGAAGAATGTCAGCGGTCGATTTTACAGCAAGTAATACAATAAATTCCTTCGACTTTTTAACCTTTCGTAATTGAGATATAAATTTGATGTTTCACTATTTCAGGCGGGTAAGGACGGAGATATTGCGAAAGTACGGGAATGACCGGAGGTTTTATCTGAAACGGCATCGATTCGCCGGTTACCAGTCGGAAATTGTACGGTCGGTTTTCTGTTTGTGTCCACTTGGGTGGGCACCATGGAGCCCTCGACTTGTGGAAGCGGTGGCGTTGGGGTGCGTGCCGGTTATAATAGCTGACGGAATACGGCTACCGTTGGAATCCGCCGTACCATGGCCGGAGATATCTCTGACGGTGGAGGAGAAAGACGTCGGGAAGTTGGCCGGGATTCTTGAATACGTGGCGGCAACTAATCTTTCTACCATTCAGAAAAACCTGTGGGACCCAAAAGTCCGGCGGGCCCTGCTTTTCCACGATGACGTGGAAAATGGCGATGCTACGTGGCAAATCGTTGTCGAGTTGTCTCGGCGGTGTGGTAGGTCTCTTCGAAGGTTGAGGGTTTCCGACCGGTGAGGACCATACACGTGGCAGATATTTCCGCAATGAAAAAGCCAACGTGGAAAAGATGTTGGATTACAGCTGGACATGGCGCCACCATTATTAGCAGTGGGTCCCTACTTGGAAATGGAAATGCGATGAGGAATGTGGTTGTTTTTATGACGTGGCGGGTGATGATTGGTGGAGGTGGGCGGGTGGACAGATAATATCATGGAATATATGGAAGGATGGCAGAGGTGAGGTTGGGTTGGGTTGGGTTACGCTGTAATGGACCGCATTTTAACACGATGGGACCTCCCTGTGAAGGGTGTGACACATTTGTCATTACTTGATTGGTTTGATTTGGACGTCAAATTTTGTACGTTATGTTGGAACTTTGCTGAGTTGCAGGATATTATACCAACTAATTTTCTTCTTTTTTATTTCATTTTTTTAATTTATCATTTTATTGTATGTAAATGTAATGAATTGGCAATTTTCAAAAATGGGTTCAAATATCTAACCCGTTTAGAAATCATGATCAATCGATTAGAAGGAGATACTTAGCGGAGATGGTGGAGAGAGATTCCGTTGGCACTTTCGTCAACATCATCGATCGATTGCAATGGAGATGGTGGAGAGAGATTTTGTTGCCATCACCAATAGCTTCTCATCTCTCGTCGCATCTGAGGTACTTTTCGGAGATAGCAAAGGGGACTATAAAAGGACCATTTGTGGCTAGGAATGAAGGTAACACAGACATTCATCTGCATCTCTGATATCCGCAAAACTGATTCAAATGAACATATATATGGTAACGTTCATAAGCGAACATCACCGATTTATGAAATGAATTCATGTATGAATAGTAACCGTAACTCAAATGGCAACAAAAACTGGTTCATAACCGAAGATTTTAGGTCATTTGTGATTGTTAGCATATGCATACGTAACAGACCATGTTCAACTAATAAAAACATTGACACTAAAATATTTTATCAAATTGTATGCAATCATATTCATGGGCCATGGCCATTTCTTTTATTGGGCTTCTATTTAATTGGGTCCAGAAAGAAATTGCAACCTACCAACTTGAACTTGACTCTTAAACCTCAAAATCATATTGTAATTCCCAAGTTGTTATCATGTCATTGGTATTTAATAAAGCGGATAAATATATAGCAGATATACTCAAAAAAGTGCGAGTCCGAAGCCACGGTCTGGGCCTGGATCTGGTGGCGGATCCAAGATTTTTATCGAGTAAATGTATCTCTAAGGTGGATCAAAGACTCGATGTGTTCTTAGATAAATAACAGTCCTTCGAATATTTTTTTAATGTTTTTTGGTTGATTTCAATGAAATTTTTCCCTTTTTTTGGTTGATTCTAGAGACTTTTCTGTTTTTTGATTGATTTCAATGACTTTTTTAGTTTTTTAGTTAATGTTCATTGTATTTTCTAAAATCCTAGAGCACCATTCAAATTTTCTCGGGTGCACCTTTCATACTAAACAACTTTTGAGAAAATTGGTTGAACGAGTGCAAGAAGCCCACTCATCAACTAACGAGTCCCCCTTGTCTGGGTCTAGTGCCTTGGCTGTGCCCTAGGCCCGAGCCTTAAAATATGATTATGGCTAATATACAGAAAAACCCAGCTCAAAAAGTCTGACCAAACCTATTTTTACACCTAAAGTCTGTACCTGACCTTGAGAAAAGTCGTTTATTTGCACATGAAAATGGTATTGAAAAGTCATGGCCTGAGTCCAACAAAATCCAAACCGTGTATATCTTATGCAAATCTAATGATATTTATTAAGACTTATAAAATATAACTATCAGAATACCAACAAAATCCTTCAAACTGTAAAATTAACTTCATTCACATATATAAAATAACGATTTTATATTTCAATTTAGTTTTAAATTCATCAATTTTTAATTAAAATAATTGAAAAGTCAACGGTGTATTATAAAACTAAGAATCTTAAATTAAACTTAACTTTACAATTATGTATACAACATAAGCCACTACAATAAAATTGGGTTTATAGGACGCTCTCAATCTCTAAATGTCTAATAGACTGTTTTATAGAACTTAATTTATAGGATCAAAATATAAAACGTCTCATCTAAAGTTGTTGTAATAAGTTTATATGACACTTTTGGGCATTTTGACAAGTTTTTTAGGACACTTTTTAATATAAAATGTCTTATTAACAATTTTATAGGACACTATTTGAAAAACTGTCTTATAAAAACAAGTGTCCTATAAAGAATTGAGTTTATAGAACACTCTCTCAAAAGTGTTCCATAAAGTCGCTAATGCGACGCTTTATATTAAAAATGTCTTAAAAAAACTTGTTAAGATGCCCAAAAACGTCATATAAACTTATTACAACGCCTTTAGATATGACGCATTATATTTTGATCATATAATTTAAGTCCTATAAAACGGTCTATTGAGACGCTTAGAGATTAAAGGTGTCCTATAAATCTAATTTTGTTGTAATCAACATTTCCAATAATCAAATATACTTTGGGTTTGATAAAAAAAATTAAAATCAATTCTTTAATCATATTCAATATAATTTCTTAAATCCAAACGGCACTCAACATCATATTAAATACAAGCACTCACAATAATTCACTCAAAATACACACAAAATATAAACAGAAATTCAATATTAATAAAGGCTTGGACGCTTAACTACTCTTTGCACATAAAGCATCAAGATACATCTCAAACCTCTATTTTCTTTGAAATCAAACATATTTTCAGCACTCTGGTGTTTGAGTATGGTCTCTCATTGGATCCCTACAGTAGTCATACACCTTAAAGTTCCTTCGAACCCAAAGCATTGCCGCAAGTTGCTGACGGCTTAGACCACCTGTCCTAGCCGGTGAACTAGACGGTGGTCTGCACCAAGATGGGGAGTTGGCATCACAACCGCTTAGCTTGAAATTGTTATACCGACCATAAAAGGGTTGGTACCTATAGTCGGCTTTATATCTGCCATTTTCTGTAGCCCATGAAGATGCATCCCATATAGACCCGTATACGTACATTGGCCTTAATGGAAACGTATTATCGCTTTTCCTTGGGTATCTTCTAATTGGCACATCATCTACAAAGAATCTGCATTTATTCCATTCGTTTTCATGAAATGTCTGAGGAAAAATTAATGGAACCGTAAATATTTTAAGAACTTGTGACCCAACTGTTTATTTTATTCTTCATGATGAATAACCATAGATAATTATAAATATATTGTATGTTCATTATTAATTATATCATACAATTTTTATAATGTATTTTTTATTATAAATAATTTTCAACATCAATATCTATATATGACCTTCATCAAGATGAGTAGTTGGTTCGCAGGTTTTCAAATTTACGGTTCACATTGGAACCAACCCTTTCATACATATATAGACACACACATAATTATTTACAAACTCAATAAACCGTACAAACTTATAAATCAGTTTTATTTCGTTGTGCACATATGAAACGATACTTGGAAAAATGCAGTGTTAATACAATATTGTTTCATATGAAACATTCATGATTATTTTGTGTGTGAAAAACTATCTCGATGTTTCGAGATTGTTTTCCACACAAAACAATACATAAAAACTGGTTTGTAAGATTTATTGAGCTTATAAAAGAAATGTATTATTATTATTATTATTATTATTATTATTATTATTATTATTATTATTATTTTATATATATATATATATATATATATATAAATAATTTGATGTGGACATCACTTAAATATTGTATATGTATGTACGATTGTAGATGAAGACAATGATGCTATTCGTTTCTTGTTTGTATTTTATGAGGACGTCCGCCGGTTAGTAGGACACAAATAAGAAATAAAGAATCGAAATAAAGACATGAGCAAAATTAATTAATAACTTACATGATCTCAATGGTGCTCCAAAGGATAGCATAGTTATGAAAATCTTTAGTCGGATCGAACCACAGGTGAATCTTCTCTTCTCGTCCGATGATCTTTCCGTCACCACTCCCTCTAATGTACACGTTCGTCTGTAGCGTGTATGGTTTCCCAGGTGTCGTTCCCAGAAACTCGATATCGACTTCATCATGGTTCCCCGGATGATCCTCGGCATTCGAAAGCTATACCAAAAAAAATCAAAACACCAAGATCAAACAATCATCAAAAACCCAAAAAGTAGAAACAACACAAAAAAGAAAAGTGTGTGTGCATGCACACATGCATGCAACCAAACAACGTAGTTTCAAGATTATTAAAGCTCATACGTAAAATGAGGTTATAACTCCAGCGGTGTAGCCAGGGTGGAGCTTCACTGCGGTCCCAAAGTATCCAGATTTATAAGATTTAAGCGACTTGAACCCACTTCCTGAAGAGCTATCGAGCCAAAGGACCAGCGAGTTCTGGTCAAACCTCTGGTGCTGTGATCCCCAGAGGCTTCTATAAGCTTGATTGAAGGGTATGGTGTTAATTTTTGAACTAGGATAAAAACCGGTCGAAGGTGGATTGGACTGAGCATTGGTCGAGGAAGAACCAATGAGCATGAAGAAAGCTAGAATGAGAAGAGGCATAACCATTATAAGGTGGTGGCTTAAAGGGAAGTAGGATCAATCAAGAGATAGAAGAGGAATTGAATTAATTAAAGAGAGGATATGAGAACAAGAAAGGGAACATACAATGCTATAAATAGAAAGATGATAAGTTAGGACCCATTGATCATTATTAAAAACTCCAAACAGGGTCCATACAGACTATCAAATTGCCCAAAATAGCGGCATCCCGACCTTAAGGTTCTTTATTGTAAGGGACAATTGTATGCGTGTTTTGATCCATTTGCAGGATCGTAATTAAGGGCGGGCGACGTTTTTCTGTACACTTTGAAAACAACTAAACGATACATTCATACTTATAAACGAGCATGCTCAAAATAAATGTTATATATGTCATAATCTAGAAACACATCAAAAAGATTTCGTATCATTTGATTGTAAAAGTGGTAAAAGAAGTACATATATGAAGGAAATGATAGATTTGGTCAACAATTACTTTCATTAGGTTCGTCCCAATCTTTTTGGAGATCCTATTACATTCGTACTAACATGTTAATAGACTCTTTTAGGGTGCGTTTGGTACACTCAGGGACATGACAGAACAAAACAGGGATCCTTGTCCCATGTTTGTCATGAATTTTATGTGGAACAAACAGAAAGAGGCCTGTTCCACTCCTACCTCATGAAACATGGTAGAACAATGTGGAACAAACTTATATTTTACCAATGTAATGTCAAAATAAAACTTATTTCTCTTCTAAAACATCAAATAAGTCTCTTTTTTACATTTTATTCATTCTTTAAATTTTATTTATTGTATTTTTTGTTTCTTGAACTTTCATTTTAGTGTCCTCAAAATATTATTTTTATACGGTTTCTATATTTTTATTAATTTATGTAATTTATTATATATTAATAATAATAAATAATGTAGAAAAGAGATAAAAATAAAAATAGAAAACTACATAAACTTTTTATTTGGTGTCGTTTTAACTGTTTTGACAAAAACTTGAAATGATATATTTCGTTATAAAAAATAATTATTTTATTATAATTTAATAAATTACATAAATTAATTAAAATAAACAACTTATCAAAGACAAATTGATCATTTTACTTATTTTATTTTGTTCAATTTTATCTCATTAAACAACTGCCTCGTATTGTGAACAAACACACCCTTAATTTTCTTTTTGGTCACAACTCACATGCATGCCTCTTTTGTAGACTCATGAATAGTGTAACAATGGGAAGCCGACAAAATGTATAAGTATGGACCTACGGCCCTTGAATTTTGGATATCTGCTGCCGACGAATTTATAAAAACCATTTGAATACAATATTTTATTCAATTATTATGTGTTCTCATATATTATATAGTTTTTTCTTTTTTTATATTTTTAGTTAATTTATGTGTGTTTGTTTTATTTTACAAATTTATGTATTATATATTATGGTTATAAAATAATTGTTTATACTATAATTTTAGACATACATAATTATTATATTTTTAACTATTTATTTGAAATCTTAAATATTTATGTATTAATTAAGTATAAATTAAAATTTTAGTTATCCATTTCTGAAACTACAGAGTTATTTTAACATAGGTTAAAATGATCTGGAGTTGTCTTAGAAAGAGGTTGGATGAAATAGATATGTATGTCAAATGGATATTTACCTGTGTTATTATTTTTTTCCATTTGATTTTTCATTTGCATTTTTAACCTTTTCTCTTTTAATTTAAACTATTTATTATATAGAAGTGATCTATTTCTCAACCATTAATATAAATCATATAAATCAATTAATTAAGATATTTATAAAAAATGATAAGAGTTCATTTATTGTAATCTTTATATTTATGGTAGACTATTAGAGTTCATTTATTATTATGATTAACGTATTACATTAAAAAAAACAATTGATATATTCATTGGATCAGATATTTATTAGATTATATATATATATGTATGTGTATATATATATATATATATATATATATATATACATGGGGGAAGGGTTGGATTCCGGTGAAAATGAGAGTTATGGTGAGAATGATAAGAAGAGGTCTCCATCTTTAGATCAATTCTAATTAAATGGGTTTGTTCGGAGATTAAAAGTGGTCAATGATCTAATCTATTTTTTACATTTCTCTTCCTAACTTCTATTTATACACGAGTTTTTTGTGTATATGTGTGTGTACATATATATATATATATATATATATATATACAATCTTTTACATTTGTACCACCATTACAACTCAATCTCAACCGTCCATTTAATTTGATGAATATGTGATTTCAAAGAAGTTTGAATTGTTTCCTAATATAAAGTATTGATCATAATTAATGAACCTTATTCATCTTTCATAAATATTCAAATCATAATAAATAAACTCTCATCATTTCTATAAATATCTCAATTAATTGGGTTGCAAGGTTGTACAAATGGACATGGTTGCATTTGAAATATACCCTATAATATATATATATATATATATATATGTATATATATATATATATATATATATATATATAGACTTGGGATCATGTGAGACCAGGCTGTTTTTGTGAGACCCGTGAGACCAACATTTTACACTTGAAACTTCACAATAAAATGCTGTGAAGGTGACTTTTTAAAACCTTCACAGTGTTTTTGCTGTGAAGGTTCGACTTTTTTTAAACCTTYAYAGTGTTTTTGCTGTGAAGGTTACGTGTAAAAATGTGGTCTCACGGGTCTCACGAAAACAGACTGGTCTCACGTGAACCCAACCCTATATATATATATATTCGGGTGAGTTCATTTGTTAACCCAATATATCGTGTTAACTTTGTAAACCAATCATAATCTTTAATCTTTGTAATCTATGGACAAAATTCATCATAATTTTTTTGTAACAAATTAAAAAATGATGTTTAATAAACATAGGTGAACAATCATGAAGAAAGAGTAATTTTGGAAAAAAGTAGGGAAGTTTCTTTTAGCATTAATTACTTTTTTGGTGATTACTCTATCGTTTTGAAACGGATATCAAGCTTTAATTATTCCTTCATTTATTGATATGTATATGTATAATTTATGAATGATGCGAATTAACGAGCAATTGTTATTATGAGTAGCACGAACACATACTTGAATGTGTACGTATGTGTGACTGGTGAATAAGGAACAATGTAACTCTCGTATTTTGTAAGCATATTCTTACTAATTTGCCCTCACTTATTAAATATTTAATAAACTATTAATCATGAACCAATATAGATTCTTATTTCACCATTTTGGTTTGTATAGTTAACACAAAAGACAAGGTTAAAAACACACACACACACACACACACACACACACACACATATATATATATATATATATATTTAAAGATTCAAATGAGAACACCTTCATTTTACAAGAACGTGAGAACATTCTTTTACTATAGACAATCACANACATATATATATATATATATATATTTAAAGATTCAAATGAGAACACCTTCATTTTACAAGAACGTGAGAACATTCTTTTACTATAGACAATCACATGTGATACTAAATCAGAGACGCAAACGATTTTCGATACGATATTGGTTGCGAGTCAAGTCGTTCTTACACCACTAAGCCCCCTCACAAGTATTATCACATGTGATAAGGGTGTTGTTGATATGATACTATAATTCATCAAGACCATCACATGAAATGCTAAATCATATAGACGCAGACAACTTTTGGAGCGACCTAATTTGTAGAACACATCGTCTGCACATCACAGGGTCCCCTCACGCGTATTATCACATGTGATAAGGGTGTTTTCGCGTTCTCGTAAAATGGATATGTTCTTGTTTGAACCTCTACCCCCTCTCTCTATGTATGTATGTGTGTGTGTGTGTGTATATATATATATATATATATACTAGAAGTGTACTCGCGCAATGCAGCGAGATACATCGTGTTTTTAATA